CTTTCCCTAATCTAACAAAAATTTGCAGATAAAGAATTGTACACAACAACGACAAAAACAACGACAGTACCAAAGTAATGTAAAAGCTAACCTATCATAATCAATGTATAATAGGAATCATAATCAATATCCCAAGTTACTGTTGGTTTATTTTTGACAACAGCTGGTGACAACAGATTTCCTCGAAATACCTGTAATTTGGTTCAACTTTAACTGATCACTGCAATGTCAACTGAATGCCACTTGTTTAAGGTTGTATTTTTATAGCCACATTATTTTGGTTATCTAAGTTTATGTCAACAAAAATTTTTCTTTTTTTTATTAATTTAATAAATTTATAATAAACGAAACAGCCAAACAGGTAGATGGTAAATAAAAGTTTATAAATATTATTTGTCGATTACTCTACCTGAACATTGTTATCAAAAGTTACTGTTAGCAGTTTAATGGGTGCTATAGGAACAATTTCTGGTGTTATACGATGAATCTCGAATGATGCTGCTACAGACATTCTGTAAAATGAGTATAACTGCTAATTAGATATTTTCTAGTAAAAAAAGTTAGCTTTTTTTACTGCAACTGACTAGTTAGTCTTATTAACTGATAGACAATAACAGTAAAGCATTAGTGCGCCAAGATTAATTTTATGTTCAGAAAGAATACTATTTTAAGCAGTTAAGCAGATCATTTCAATTAAAGTGTTTATTGATACCAAGCTTATCACTGCTTTTTTTTCTTTAGTCAACACTAATAAACTGGTGAAATTCTAGTGACGTTAAAGAAAGAAAAAGCAGTATCAAAATTTGCTTTGAATTTTGTGACAAGTTGCTAGGAAAAAAAAAAAGACAGCTCAAGAATTCTTACACTCTGTGTTGTTTAATTCAGCGAATACACGACATATTCTTTATTGTCACTGTTCAAAACTGAAGTGATTAGAAAGTTATAGTAAATTATCCATACCAAAGAAAATTAATATAATATCTTTAAAGTTTATTGTTGGTAACAACACAGTTAGAGCAATCAAACTGATTTCTTTTTTCTTTTTTTTTACTTTAAAAACTATTTTAAGCGAAAAAAAAATGAAGTTGTATTTGTGTTGTACCATTCTGCATTAGTGATCTTCTCCTGCTTTCCTTTGCCCTTAGACAGTTTATCTCATCAATAAAGGTAACGACAAAAAAAGAAGTGCGAAGAAAACTACAAAATCACCGAAAAAAAAAAAAATGTTCAACAGAAAAAGTAAAATTTTTTCACTTTTCAAGGTTTCTCTTCATTTATTCATTTTTTCTTGTCTTTTGTATCAAACTTTTTTATTCCCATCGTTTTAAAAAAAGAAAACGAAAAAGAAAGGTAAACTGAAATTGCAGTATAAATTTATAAAGTTTTTTGCTTCATTTTCTTGCTTTTTTTTGGCAGAAAAAAATGTTCAATATTTAATCAGCAAAAGAAATAGCAAGTTGATAGCAAAAATATCTTTGTAAACAACTTGTTTATTAAATTTAGTGATAAGTTGTAAAAGTTGTTCGTAAACCATCAAAAAAACAAAATAGAAAAAAAAAGAAAAAAAGAATAGAAGTAAAAAATGAGAATTTTTCTGGCAATTTCAAATTTAAAAAATTTCAACAAGTTTCTTAATCATTCCATAAATCGTCTACAAATCTTTTTACACAACTCCAGTTTTGAAGTGTTCATTCGAAAAAGTCGAAAAAAATAGAAATAAAAACTGTGATAAGATAAACACAATATTGGAAGTTCACATTTCCTCAGTGCAAATTTAGCAGTGCGGTAAATAAATGCGCGAAATACAGCGCCATTGGAATTGACCGCGGAACCGCTGTAATCCCATAAACCGAGGAGGTGTGCCGTTTTTCGAGCTGCGGACGTCGTCAATAGTGCCTCCAATTAAGTTTTAGACTAGGCTATTTTCAAAATTTTATTTTTTTATCTAACATGCTAAAAACTAGTAGAACAAATAGCGTACTTTAGAAAAACATTAAATTTTACAAAAAATTATGTAAATTTTTTCTTTCTTTTTTTTATTCATCTTTTTTATGAACGTATCAAACCGATAAATGGAAACTGGAAGAGAAAACGGAAAAGACGAAGAGAACTAACAATATTATAACCAAAAAAAAAAA